GCCGGCATTTAAAAATGGCGCCGGCCGGCTTCATGCAAATGAAGCCCGGGAAATTCAAATCCCAGGCTTCATTTGCAACTGCGGATGACGATATTACCCCCGCTAGTTCGAACTAGCGGGGTAGTGTAGACATATCCTGAGAGCCCCTCAATGCCTATTGGCAGAGGGCCGACTGTTCTGGAGCACGAATCAGGCCTGACACACTCAGTAAGCCTAACAGATGGCTGCCACGGTATTTATCAGTGACAAGCGCTGTGTGAAGTATCACCTGAAGGCTGGGGACACACTGATCATTAGTAGCACTGTGTGATGAGTGGATGGACAGTGTGTAATGAACTAGGTATGTATGTCAGAGATGTTACGTGTTGGGAGCAGACCTCACGAATGAGTTTGTCCCAGACAAAGGAATGTTGATTTGTCTGTTTGCCTGGGCCTACCATGTCATTGAGCATGGTGATACCACAGACAACAGACTGTTCACTTGCCTCTAAACACCAGTTGTCAGGAGTGTAAGGAAATAGCACAGCATCAGCACACCACAGGACCCTGGTGGGTCATCCTGACTCTTGAGAAAAAAACTTGAACAACAAATAGTCTTGCAGCATCTTAAAGACTAAAAAACATGTAGATAAAACATGTAGATGGTATCATGAGCTTTTGTAGATGTTATCATGAGCTTTCGTGCGCACAAAAGCTCATGATACCATCTACATGTTTTGTTGGTCTTTAAGGTGCTGCTAGACTATCTGTTGTTGTTTAAGTTTTTCCAGTTACAGACTAACTCGGCCACCCCTCTGAAGCTCTTGAAAAAAAGACAATGAATGAACTTTGGGAAATATAAAGAGAAGCAAAAGGCAGGTCCGTAACAAGGGCGAGGTGAATGAGGCACTTGCCTCGGGCACATAGCTGAGGCGGCGCAGAAAAGACAGCTTCTTTGATCGTGCCTCGCGCCACATCAGCACCCCCGCCCACGCCGAAGATGGTCTTGCCTCAGGTGCCAAATTAGCTAGTTACGACTTGGGCAAAAGGGCACCCTCATCACTTCATGAACAAAGAGGCAGCACCAAAAGGGCACCCCCATCACTTCATGAACAAAGAGGCAGCACTCTCTTATCTTCCAACAGTGGATCCCCATCCATGTGGGTAGGTGATTCAGAAAAGCTGCTTTAGGTAAGAAACTTTTCTTAGACAAGCTTTGTAACTAAGCTTCATTTGAGGAAGTGGGTTGTGCCCACGAAAGTTCATGATATTACATGTATATTTTTGTTAGTCTCTAAGGTGCCACAGGACTACTCGTTTTTAAAGTTACAGATTAACGCTGATACCCCTCAGGCTTTTTAACTAAGCTTTAGTCACTAGAAAATGTGATTAGACTTTTCTTTTATGTAAATTCTGTTCTGCTTCTATGATCTCTGCTTAGCATCACTTCAGTCTCTCTTCTTAATTACTAAGCTTCTTCTTGCTTTCTTGTAAATCCACCTCAGTGTTGCAGCACCCAAGTGAGGTGGGCCTGGTACTGATGCTGTCCTCCTCCTAAATTCAGGCCACATCCCTTCCTTACCCTGCTGTAGACCTGGAGGAAGGTGCTGGAGAGTAGCTGGTGCTTTTCAGCCAGGAAGCGGTAGCGGCGCTTCTCCTCCAGTTCGGCAGCCCTCTGGCTCTCAGAGACAAATGCTTGCATCTCTGACTGCAAGCGCTTCACTTTCTCCTGGGGGGAAGAGAAAAGAAAGGACTGATGTCAATCCAGCACCCTGAGTCTATACAGAGCAGTATTTGGAAGAAAATACCTGGGGTTCCTCTTAGCTGGCTGGGTCATACACCTTTACAACCCCTTTGCTGTGTTGAAGCAGCACACAGTGTTTCTAGGAGGAGCAGGGATCAGGCCCCTAATCTTATTTTAGTTTTTCCATTGCCTCAGACACTTCAGGCAGGAAGGAGTTCCAAAGAATAACAGTATCCTCTATGAAAAGATATGTCCTATCTGTGTGTCAACTTGCTGCCTTTTTCATCTCATGGAGTGCCCCTTTGTGTTCTAAGGAAGGGAGGGTATGTCTCCCTAACTTAATTCGAATTAGTTAATTCTAACCTAAAAACTAATTTGAATTAGCATTTTGCTAATTTGAAATAGCATGTCCACATTGAGTAGACCCTGAACCAAAGTTCAGGCTGGCCGGAAGCAGTGCCGGGCAGGGCATCAGGTTAGGACTTAGAGCGTGGAGCTGCTGCCTCAGGCTAGCCGAGCGCTGTGCTTAAAGGGACCCGACCCCCACCCCGGACAGACAGTTCTCAGGGTTCCCCACTTGCTTGTCTACCTTGATGAGGGACAGCAAAGCAGTCCTGTCTTGGAGTGCCCTGAGTGCCCACACTTGGCACATCACAGCACTCGGCCATCAGCCCGGATGCATTTCCTGCAGGCTGCCATCCAGGGGGGCCAATCGGGGGGCAGTCAGGATCCAAGAGGCCCTACAGGAGAGCTTCCACCCTGAGGAGCCCGCAGAGCCACCCCAGTCCTCCACATCGGGGGCTCGTGCCCCATTCCTCCCTCACCTCCTTCCACTTACCCTTCCTTAGCCCC